TCCAAATGTATGGGTGCAGGTTTTTTTTTAAAAGATTAAGGGACTTCTTTTCCATGTTTCTTGTGCATAGAGCAACCCCTTGAATTGAATAGGCTGCCCAATGCATAGGAGTGTGTGGAGAATGCAAGGAAACATGCCCGCCCTTTTTTGTACCCGTAACTGTGAACCAAGGCTAAGATCTAAGCTCTGGCAAACTTTATTGGGTCTGGTATAGATTTTAATGGGGAACCACAAGCTAAAATAAAGAGAAAAAAGTGTGAGGTCCTCCCAAAAAATCCATGCCAGATCTTTATCTGGGCATGCAGCCTGGCAGGCTAGGAAAAAGGAGGGAGATAGCATGCACCCCCTCCTCTTGAACAATACCAGGAAAGCCCTGGCAACGCACATTGCCCCTATGTTGATGAGGACAAGGAGCCCTTCCCCACAAGATGAGTTTTTTAAGTGCTTTTCGCAGAAACGAGCTACAATCCACTTAACGTGCTTGTCCTATGGGACACGTTCATATCTATGCTTTTTGGAGCCACTGCATTTTTGGAAAGGGTCAAGGACTTTTTAAAAAGCGAAATTATGCATTTTTGGTTCAATATACTTCAATGGAGATGTCAAAAACGTAGAAAACGCACAGCAAAAAACACTGCAAAACTGCATTGGTGTGAGCCAGGCCTTAGAGAATAGAGAACCAAGTATCATTTTGTGTGTAATTTGTATGTTGTTAACAAGAAAAGCAATAAAATAGATCCCCTGCAGCCAGCAACAATAGACCCCCAGCAACAATAGATCCCCCTATAACAATAGCATACCTCCCAACTGTGCCTGATTTTGAGGGACTGTCCCTGGCTTGAAACAAGGTCCCTCTGTCCCTCTTTTCCACCTCTTTTGTCCCTCATTTTGGTCTGATCTAAATGGTTGTAGATAAAATACACAGTTTATCTTTCAATAAGTGTTTCCCAGTGCTAAACCTTTCACCCAGTTTCTAAATTGTTGTATTTGCAAATTTCAAAGCCAGTATAAAAGAACTGTAGTGGTTAAAAAAAAGCACTCGTGGGTTTAACTAATCTTTTTTTTTTTATAATTATCCTTTAAGGGGGCATGTCAGGGGGTGTGTCCTATGCCTACATACATTAGCTAATAGATGTCTTTTGTTCCCATCTCAGAAAGTTGGAAGGTATGCGATAGACACCCCCCCAGCAACAACAGACCACCCCACAACAACAGACCCCACCAGCAACATTAGTTCTCCCAGCAGCCAGCATAACATTATCCCTCCTCATTGCCATTACATGCATTCAGTGCTGAAGGTGCTGGAACTGATTTCCCCCATGCTCCCGCTGAAAAAAACCCTGGTGTCCATGCATATACCATATCTGTTGGATCCCCATTCAAGCTGTAGTAGACAGGTCTGTGGTGGTGGCAGGCATCGTGATTGACATTGGATCTACTTTAGGGGACTTTTTTTACATTTTTGTTTTTAATAAAGGAATTTTCAGACTTTCTTCTGTCATTTATTACCCTACACTTTTTGTTTTTGGTGAGTAATGGTACTCATTCAGATGGGGGGGGGGGGCTGGGATCTGGGGGCTGCCTTATTAAAGGGGGTTTCCAGATTCCAATAAGCTCCTGCCCGCAGACCCTCACAACCACCAGCCGCGGTTGTAGGGAAGAGGTCCTTGTCCATGGGGACAAGATGCTTTTGGGGGGAACCCCCTGCCCAAAAGAACCCCCCCATGTTGAGGGCATGTGGCCTGGTTCAGGAGGGGGGGGCGCTTTCCTGTCCCCCCATTTCCTGACCTGCCAGGTTGCATGCTCGGATAAGGGTCTGGTATTAATTTGGGGGGTTCCCCTCAAAATCCATACCAGACCTGAAGGGCTTGGGATGGATCGGGAGGAATCCCACGCCTTTTTTTTGCAAAATGTTTAATTGCCATCAATTGTTTTTACATTTAGCTGTCAGTAGGGAACCCTGCTGACAGCTGAAACATTAAAGCATGTTTTATACTACTAAAATACCGCATTACTTACTAAAAAATAACTCACGCAGTATTTTAGTAGGCTTTTTTGGAAAAATGTGCAGTATCTTGCAGCATACTCGGATACAGTAAGATAACGTTTTCTGAATTGTCCCGGTTCGAAGTTCACAGTCAAACTTTCATTAGGTTTGAATGTTCAACCAAGAACAGAACGGGGGTGTTCGACCCATCACTAATCCACAGCCCCCCATTCACCAAACATTACAAAGCAGAGAAAGCATGTAAGGATTTATAGGCAAGTAAAAAGCACATAAAAGGTAACCAGCATTTTTTTTTTGGAAGTTATGCTATGTTACTGAGAACATGTAAATATTTTAAAGTAGGTGTTATCCCAATTTGGCTGCAAAAGTGGAAATGTAAGGATTTTTATATCTTTCCAAATTTTGGAAAAACAGCTTTTCCAGTATTGTTCTGCTTTAAAACACCTTTCTTGCAAGGAGGATGAACACTTCTGATATGCATCAACCTTGTGTAGGTCTAATTTACCTTGACATGAAAATCTCATCCACAAGAATAGGAAGACTGTGTGGGATTTCAACTAAGGAACCCAAGTATAGCAAAGTAGGTGTTCTTCTCAAATAATCCGAAATAAGTACTCAATCAATCTCTATATATACACAGTGCCGGTAGGAAATTTCCATTTATTTAGGATACCTAATATTACCCAAAAGAATATTTTAAGTTCAATATGAAATTAGCATTTAAAAGCAAAATTTTGACTAGGATTTTGTTTCTCTCACTTGCTTCACTTTGAAATGTTAAGAAGCTGAAAATTCAAGTTTGAGGAACACCTAAGTCGGCTGACTCTGGTAGTCTTCCTTTGAAGATCAATCTGCTTAACTGCTTACTTAAAGGGAACATATAGTTTATACATTTTTTTTTAGATTTACATGTGGTAATGGTTTCAAACCTTGTGTATGGTTTGTAATAATATATGTACATGGGGGACAACCTGGACAGGAAATAAAGGGACATCTTCCTTATGAAGCTCCGTATAAGTGCTGCATAGCACTTCTTCTCACATTACTAATTTACTCAATGAAACAAAACACAACCTCCTGCCTGTATGCCTGAGCTAAGGGCAGATTGATTCCAGGAAGTAAATGCTACATTAATAATGTGCCCTTTCCCAAGATGGCCATGTTTAGAAATGCTAATGGATGATTTTCAAGGTGATTTCTCAACAAAACAAAGCACGTAAATATGGATGGGTGAGTTTGCTTTGAATATTAACCACTTCAATACCGGGCACTTATACCCCCTTCCTGCACAGGCCAATTTTCAGCTTTCAGCGCTGTCGCACTTTGACAATTGCGCGATCATGAAACATAGTACCCATATGAAATTTTTATCATTTTTTCACACAAATAGAGCTTTCTTTTGGTGGTATTTAATCACCACTGAGTTTTTTATATTTGTGCTAAATAAAACAAAAAACACCTGAAACTTTTGAAAAAAACGCACTTTTTTCTTCATTTTTTGTTGTAAAATTTTGCAAATAAATAACATTTCTTCATAAATTTAGGTCAAAATGTATTCTGCTACATTTCTTTGGTGAAAAGAATAAAACTAATAATAATAATAATAATTTCAATTTGTATTTTTTTTTTCACATTTTTCTATTTTATTTATTTTTTATTACATTATTTTTTCTTTATGTTACTATTTTTTTTTTTTCAACACACTGTGACCAAAGCAATACAATGCTACTATAGTAATATTGAACTACTCTGGGCAAGTGATCAGGATTTTTATTTTTTATTTTTTTAACACATTCTGATTGCTAATACCAATGTATTTCATTGATATTTGCAATCATTGTTACTGAATGAAACTGATTAATTCAGTCTTTTGCTGTGATTAGCTGTGATTGAGCAAAGCTGATCACATGATACAGATGGACTGTGATTTGCACTGTCTGTATCATGTGACTGCTTTGACCGATCACAGCTAACAACGCAATTTTATACAATGGATGGCATGGTAGGAAGCCATCCATTGTATACAATTGACATGTGATCTGCTGTGATTGGTCACAGCAGTCACTTGACACGGGCAACAGGCCGGTGTAGTGATATGTCATTGTCTGTGTCATTGTCTGTGTCCCGTGGACACAGCCGGTGACAGATCGCGCTGTGAGCGGCTCGTTTTGGGGAGTCAAAAAGAAATTAAATAGAGTTTTTGGTTTTTGGTGCTCAGATGCAGTGTAGTTCTGCTCTTTGTTGGCCATACCGGGCTTTCATTTTGGCTAATACCTGTAAAATCTACCAAAATTAGAGCTGTGGATAGCCCTCTCAGTACCACCTAACTTCAAATAAAAAAGTGTCAGCTGAACAGTGTCTGAACTCCAAGGAAAGGGAAACGTCCCCCAAAACGCATGCCAATCCCCTCAGCTTGGGTCAGATGGCATCGTCTCATGGCTGGACCAGAGCCTTGTAATTTATCATGCTTGCTTTTATTCATGTTTGTGGGTATGTTACTAGCTTAACCACTTGCCTACCGGGCACTTTTACCCCCTTCCTGCCCAGGCCAATTTTCAGCTTTCAGCGCTGTTGCACTTTGACAATTGCGCAGTCATGCAACACTGTACCCAAACAATTTTTATCATTTTTTTTAGACAGATAGAGCTTTCTTTTGGTGGTATTTAATCACCACTGGTTTTTTTTTTTTGCTAAACAAACTAAAAAAGACTGAAAATTTTGACAAAATAACATTTTTTTTTCTTAGTGTCTGTTATGAAATTTTGTAAATAAGTAATTTTTGTCATTCACTGATGTGCGCTAATGAGGTTGCAGCGATGGTTACTGATAAGTTGCACTGATGGGCACTGAAAGGTGGCATGGATGAGGAGGCACTGGTATGTGGCACTGATGGGCATTGACAGGCATCACTGATGGGCACTGAAAAGCAGCATTCATATATGGCACTAATAGGCAGCACTGATTGGAACTGTTAGGCGGCACTGATTGGAACTGTTAGGTGGCACTGATAGGAGGCACTGATTGGCGTCACTGATAGGTTGCACTGACTGGCACTTATAGTTCGCACTGAAAGACAGCTCTGATGGGCACTGATATGTGGAATTGATGTGCACTGGTAGGTACTGATATGTGGCATTGATGTGCACTGATGGGCACTGGTATGTGGCATTGATGGGCACTGACAGGTGGCCCTGATGATCAGTGTAGATGTCGCCTCTGAGGAATTCCAATTACCGGCTCTCCTCTCCTCACACGCTGTCAGTGTGAGGAGAGGACTGCCGATAACCGGCATTTCCTTGTTTACATGCGATCAGCTGTGATTGGACACAGCTGATCACATGATAGAGCCTGTGTCATCGGCTCTTTACAGTGATAGGTGATCTTCTGTGTCCCAGAGCAGAAGGACGTCATATGACGTCATATGACGTCATCTGGGTTCTCTGTTCTTATTGTGACCTTGGCAAAGACCTCAGGGTCCCTAGAACCTTTGGATAACCTTGAAATGAGCACAAGTCAACAAAAAACCTCTCCAGCGCTCAAAAAGAATAAACACCAGTAGGAATTGTGTTATGAAATAGATGTTTCTCTGGAAAGGATCTTGGCGGCGCAGCCCTCCCCAGACAGGGAAATCCAACCATAGACTGAAAAAGAAAAAACAGGGGGCACAAACACCTAGCATATTACTCAAGATTTAGTGAGAAAAATATACAAAATGACAATTTGATACTCACAAAAGGCAGAAGTGATAACGCATACATAGAACAACCGATGGTCAACCAATGTAGTAGCAGTTTTTCAGGGACGTGTCCCCTTCCTCAGAGCTGATTAAGACGAGTGCTCGTGTCCATGTATATGTGTGTAGTGGGTATAACATGGTTGCTCCAGGCCCCTCCCTTCACTGTGAGGTCAATAAAACATGAGCAGCAAAATCCTCAAAACAAAGAGGGGGAGAAAGGTGTAAATAGTTACTCTACTCTGGGTAACCAAACCTCTCCCCTTGTCCGCTTGCTTGATATCAAAATTGTTCCTTATGCCCTCTAGTATGGCTTTCTCTTGATTGGACATGACAGATGTATGATCTTGCCTAGTTTTTGTACACAACTTAACTAGTCCTAAATATACGATCTCATAAAAGGATGAAATAAAACTGCCCTTCACCTTGTGGGGGTGGAAGATAGATTTAGGTTTGAAATGAGTGTGAGCCATTCTGCCATGCTGACTTACTCATAAGTAGGGTATTAAGAAAGGTGAGGTGTGTATATATATATATATATATATATATATATATATACATACATATATATATACAGGTGAAACTAGAAAAATGAGAAAAATTAGGACATTACATGCAATCAATAAAACAAGGATTGTACATAGAACAATATCGGACCTCTGAAAAGTATAAGCATGCATATGTACTCCGTACTTGGTTTGGGCCCCTTTTGCAGCAATTACTGCCTCAATGTGGCATGGTATGGAAGCTTTCAGCCTGTGGCACTGCTGAGGTGTTATGGAAGACCAGGATGCTTCAATAGCGGCCTTCAGCTCTTCTGCATTGTTCGGTCTCATGTCTCTCACCTTTCTCTTGGCAATGCCCCATAGATTCTCTATGGGGTTCAGGTCAGGTGAGTTTGCTGGCCAATCAAGCACAGTAATCCCATGGTCATTGAACCAGGTTTTGGTGCTTTTGGCAGTGTGGGCAGGTGCCAAGTCCTGCTGGAAAATGAAGTCAGCATCCCCATAAAGCTCACCTGCGGAATGAAGCATGAAGTGCTCCAAAATCTCCTGGTAGATGGCTGCGTTGACCCTGGACTTAATGAAGCACAGTGGACCAACACCAGCAGATGACATGGCTCCCCAAATCAACACAGACTGTGGAAACTTCACACTGGACTTCAAGCATCTTGCAGTGTGTGCCTCTCCATTCTTCCTCCATACTCTGGGTCCTTGGTTTCCAAATGAGATGCAAAAGTGTCTTTCATCAGGAAAGAGGACTTTTGGACCACTGAGCAACAGACCAGGTCTATTTTTCTTTAGCCCAGGTAAGACGCTGCTGACCTTCTTTGTTGTTCAGGAGTGGCTTGACAAGAGGAATGCAACATTTGAAGCCCGTGTCCAGGATCCGTCTGTGTGTGGTGGCTCTTGATGCACTGAATCCAGCCTCAGTCCACTCCTTGTGAAAGTCCCCAACACTTTTGAATGGCCTTTTCCTGACAATCCTCTCCAGGCTGCGGTCATCCCTGCTGCTTGTGCACTTTTTTCTTCCACACTTTTCCATTCCACATAACTTTCTATTAATGTGCTTTGATACAGCACTTTGAGAACATCCAACTTCTTTTGCAATTACCTTTTGAGGCTTTCCCTGCTTATGGAGGGTGTCAATGATGGTTTTCTACACAACTGTCAGGTCAGCAGTCTTTCCCATGATTGTGATTCCTACTGAACAAGACTGAGAGACCATTTAAAGGCTCAGGAACCCTTTGCAGGTGTTATGGCTTAATTAGCTGATTAGAGTGGGACACTTTGAGCCTAGAATATTGCACCTTTTCACAATATTCTAATTTTCTGAGATTGTGGATTTGGGGTTTTCATGAGCTGTAAGCCATAATCATCACAATTATGACAAATCACAGCTTGAACTATCTTGCTTTGCATGTAATGAGTCTATCTCATATATTAGTGTCACCTTTTAAGTTGCATTACTGAAATAAATGAACTTTTGCACAATATTCTAATTTTTTGAGTTTCACCTGTATATATATGTACCTCACCTTTTTTGGATTCATAATTTTATGGATTCCATGTTGGATCATTGGCTTCATATTTAATGCACTAACATTATTTTGTTTTATATATTTTTCTACTTAATTGGTTATTTGTTTTATATTTCTGTACTATATTTTTTTGCAATTAATTGTTAATTTATTATTGTGACTTTTGGTCTTGTATAATTAGATTATTTATATTTTGCTGTTTTGCACATAATTTCTAGTGCAACACATATTACTTGATTCATTTTTGGGAGAGAATATCCTCTTTGGTGTTTGCTGCTTTTATAGTTTAATTTATTTTTACACAATTTACGCAGTTTATTTTTTATTAATCTCCTCAGATAGCTCCTCTCCACACACAGGATCTTTACTTCCTCTCACACTAGTAGCTCTCTCCCAACTGCCCCTGCTCTTTCCTGGGCTTTTATATTTATTTATTTATTTTCATTTATTTATTATAACAAATGCTTATGTAGCACTACTCCCTTAGGAGTCACTGAGTTTTGGGTCCCCTATGGTGCTGAACAGCCAGGTAACACACATTTTTCTCAGACCTTGCACACTGGAGTCAGTAAACAGGCCTTGAGCTTGTTTTTTTTTTTTAGTTTTATTAAGAGGTATTGAACTTTGATGGGGTCGAGGGGTGTATGAGATGCACAAGGAAATTGCAACATGAGTACAAACTCCTTAGCAACTATGTACAAGTCCACAGACAAAAGAAAACAATTTTCTTGGAGAGCTCTCCAGCCCCCCTGGTGTACCACCTCAGACCTCAACCGAAATCTCCTCTTCACCCAGCTGCCTGATGGAATAACTTGGCAAGGGGGCCCATATACTGCCACTTTAAATCAACGATCCCATATGGGGGGATCCAGCCTTCACTCTATCTTCCACCCAACACTACTCCTGCTAAACAGGCTCAGTCATACTTAAGGGCTGCCCTGGCCCCATGCCAAGCCTCCTGCTTTGGGATTGGCCAGAGTCCCCTGAGTATGCAGATCAGCCCCTCCTCACCCAACCCACTGCCTTCTAGAAACTCCTCCAGCTTCTAGAGTAGGGGGAGGTATCAGGAAACTGAACTGCAGAGCCCTCAGCCCTGATCTAAAGTGAACCTGGCTGAGTCATCCAATGCTGACTCACACCAGGCTCTAGTTGAAAACGTATCTAGCTCCCCCTAGCTATCTAGAGGAGTGCTACACTTATATAGAGCCATCAACTTACACAGCGCTTTATTTATCTCACCCCTCCTGCCCCCAGGCACACTGGGTCCTGTAGTTTATTTTGCCTTTCATGGTATTTCTCCTGGCCCAAACTATATCTCCCAACATTCAGTGCTCCTGCTGTTAGTGAATCTGGAGCTCTGTGTCTGACGAAGCTCTATCTTGTGGTGAGAAAAGGGAACTACATTCAAGAAATGTTAACCATAACAATGCATTATAAGGCCTGCACATTCCAGTAACAATGATTCTGGTTACATTGGAATGAATGGACTTTACCAAACCAAAACCACATACACTGTGAGTAATTTGTTTGGAAAAAATCTACATCCTGCTCTTTAAAATGTTATGACTGCATTCAAAAATGAACATCAATTTGAACCACTAATGATTAGAAAAAAGAACCTTATTACCACATTTTTTTCCTAAGAAATTCTAGGCATCTGTGGCCAGTTCGAATCTACATCTGGGGTAGGAAAAGGAGGGTAACTTTCATTAAGGCAAGTTAGACAGAAAGGATAAATGAATGAATGAAAGTGAAAATGCATTTATCCTTTAATAATAGTACTTGAGCTACAGTCCAGTAACTTTGATTAGGATGAGGTGATGTCATTCATCTGCTGTGTGACATAAAAAATTGGAACTACCACTGTTTTATTCTCTAGAGTGTCAGCTAACAAAAATATATATAATGCTCAGGGGTTTCACGTATTCTTCAGGCCTAATGAGATTTTTTAAACATGTGTGTCAAAAAGGAGCTGGCAGCGAAAGGGTTAAGTCTTAAGTAACAAGCTGGCACCAAAGTACAAAACTGATCAGGAATTTGAGATACTCTGTCAGCTACACTAGAATTCGAAATGAATGCTCTGCCATTCTCCAGACAGCAGAGACTATCAATAACTACATGGTCACTGGCTTGTCACAATGAATCCCACTAACGGTGATGAGCAGGCATTTCCCTGATTCACTGTTTTCATACACTAGAAACTCTTCACTGCATTGGATTTTTATTCTGTAATAAGCAATGATATAATGTTGAATTTTGCATGAAATTATTTTTTTCTTAGAAATATAGTATTAAATTATTTGGTTCCATGTAATTAAAGCTCCAAGGCATAAAATACATCCTTTTTTTTTTTAAACTACCATATATTTACTAACCCTCACATATACACAGATAAACATAGAGATGGGAAGACTGACAGACATATAGGATAGACAGACAGACATGATAGATAAAGAAAACTCAAAGAAGTACACAATATAATAGAGAATATTAAGAAAATAATATAAAGAATACAAAGAAAATATATATATAATATAAATATATATATTTCAGTAAATTATGTTTGAAATTAGAAACATATGCACTAGCTATCAATTTTCTTA